GCCAGTGGCCTAGGTGACAATTGGGATATAAGGACAGGTATTCTGCTTAAATTTCATTCAGGGGAAGCCTACTGCTGCACCAATGTCCACTCAGCTCTCTTCCTACTCTCCTCTTACCTTCCACAAGGATTGGAGCTGCTTTCTTCAAAGTAGAAGGGCATCCATTCTCAGACACAATGATGCATGGAACACCCTGGAGTTTACTGGAATATTTGGGGATGGTGCCGAGGAGGCTGCTTTACTTGACAATTAGTTGCTGGGGATGCTGAAACAAAAGACCACAGATCAGGTGATTTAATAACAATGTTTTCTCTCTCAGCTGCAGAGTCCAGGAGTTGAAAGATCAACACACCAGCAGGGTGGGTTTCTCTCTTTGGCTTGTGACTGGCCATCTTCTCTCTGTGTCTTCAAAGTGTGTGTGTGTGTGTGTGTGTGTGTGTGTGTGTGTGTGTCCCAGAACCTTCTTATAAAGATGCTAGTCCTATCAGATTAGGCTTCACTCTACTGAACATATACTAACTTAAGTAAGTTTTGAATAAATTCTCTAAATACCATCATATATTTAGGAAACAATGAATAAAGGTTTCAAAGGAAAAATTTTAGGGAGTACAGAAGTCAGCTCAAGGCAATCAGCTCTTTGATTTATCTTCGTAGTTGTGATCCACCATTGCACAGAGAGCTTTTGTTCTGTGCTAGCAGGGAAGGTGAGGACTCTGGTTAAAGAGGTAGAGGTACAGAGGTGCTGCCTTCCTTGGGTTTGCTTTAAAAAACTCCCAAATTGTTCATATAGGAATGACAGAAATACTATAGTTAATAATAGTTAATGATGATAATCCCCTCACCTCATTCCAGAATTAATGACCGGAACTTTATTGTTTCCAATCTTTAAAATAAAGTAATAAGTATACACAATTTATAAACTATTCTTCCACTTTCCTCTTCTTCCTTTCTCCAAAATATGACACCATAAATGCAATGGGTTTCTCCATGCATATCTTTATATTGTACCTGTAGTTACATCTACCTTCATAGCTTTCTATTGACTCTATCTATCTATCTATCTATCTATCTATCTATCTATCTATCTATCTCTGTCATCTATCATTAATCAATCAGATAACAATCACCTCTATCATTGTCATCTATTTGTCAATCATCTATCATCTATTTATCTATATCAATCATCTGTCTAATCTATCACTAATCTATCAGCTATCAATCATCTACATCATTGTCATATCTGTCAATCATCTGTCTATCATCCATCTATCTATCTCTTATCTATTAATCATTTATCTATCTATTTTCTATCTGCCATCATCTACCTATATGTTAAAAGATCTACACATTATTTAGGGACAATAAATTGTGTTGTGACAAGACAATGTGTTTCTCTAATAGTAAAAATTTATGGAGGACTAAATATGCCCAAGTTAAATTTTAACATTATCGAAGAGCATCACTTACAAGTGGTATATACTGTAAGATCCCATTTATATAAATATGATCAAATACATTATGCAGTTTTTATTATTGGAAAATATATTATCAATTTTATGAAACATGAGCAGAATAATGTGTGTCGTGTGAGTTTGGTAGTTTTCCTGGGAAAAGAATGAATCAATTTTATGCAAGAACATAAAATGGAACTTTGAAATATGCCTCTAAGATTTTTTTGCACTAAAGATATCTGAAGGAAAAATGGTGAAGTATATGAGTTTTTATCCTATGATATAATTTATTTTATTTTTATTAGTACATGTTTAGAGTGCATGGAATTACCATCGTATTGTGGAGCGGGTACACAGACCTAAGACAGCTTGTTTTTTTTTTTTTTTTTAATCATCTTTCCTTTCATGAAGTTTATCAGTTTTTAACTGGTGACTGGTGATTGCTGACTTGCATGGTTTTCTTTTTCATCATGCCTGAATCATCTCTAGTAAAACACATTATCTGGTTCCTTTAAAAAAATCTCCAACTTTCTCAAGGAATACTACTTGCATACACGTTTTTCTACATTCAGGTCATCCTAGTTCTGTGATTCCTATGCCTCTTGCATTTACCATTTAATTCATTTCATTGTTGTGTGTCATGTGGCCATGCCGAGTGACTATTGCTAGCATTCGTGCATCTTTCTATACTTTTCTATAAACGAATAGTCTCAGCGGTAGGTTCAGCATACAAACTCTTCACCAAAGTGTGCATTTGTTATGGTAAAAATGTTCTGCCTTTCTTTCCCCACCTGCTCCAGGCAGCTGTTCCTTCTAAGAGGTGAACGGCACCAGTTGCTATCATTATGCACACAGTAAGAAAGATCAATATGAGGCTTTCCATTGCCTAGCACCAAACTGGCTGTTTTGCTGTCTTCCTTCCTTCCTTCCTTCCTTCCATCCTTCCTTCCTTCCTTCCTTCCTTCCTTCCTTCCTTCCTTCCTTCCTTCCTTCCTTCCTTCCTTCCTTCCTTCCTTCCTTCCTTCCTTCCTTCCTTCCTTCCTTCCTTCCTTCCTTCCTTCTTTCTTCTTTTTGTTTTGTATTTTAGAGAAGGGGCTACAGAGTCCACAGGGTCTCACCACTAGATGGGACTCATAGTGATCCGCCTGTTTACAGTCTCCCAAGAGCTGGGATTACAGGCACGTGCCACCACGCCCAGTCTCAATCGCCGTCTCAGCGCGCCCTGGAGGCAGGGCTGGCACAGCAGGTATACTCATTTCTCATCAAATAAAGCATCCACATGCAGTTTCCACCCCCCCATTTACTGAAGCAAAATTCTACAAGCAAAAACTGTACATTTAAGATGCACAATATGTCAGGGAATTAAAAATTGAGAAATGATTATTAAGCTACAGCTAAAGAACACATTATCTGGCAGTTTCATTAAGCAAATGATGAGACCCCAGCTTCTTAACTAGTTGAGAATTTTTCCTCATTCAGAAAGCAAAGGCTACATCCTGGATTAAATTCAGAGTATGTGGCTCCAAGGTAACGTCAGATGATTAGCTACGTCATGCTGCTCTGTCCTCTCCCCCCGCAGGAGAGAAAGAATGATGCTCTCCAGGGACCCTCCTGTTAGGAAACCTGATGATCCAAATCTGTGTCACCTTGTACTTCGCTGTCATCTGAAGAATACAAATTGGTTTTTATTTCAATCTGTCTGCACTGGAGGCTCTGTATTTCATCATTCCTCCCATGTAGCTAGTATTTATTTTGAGTAGTAATATAATACCTCTCTCACTAGGGGAAGAAGTTCCCTTAGGGTGAGATGGGAAGTGTCATTTTCTGTAAAATTTATTTATTTGATACAGGGTCTCGCTATGCAGTTTGGACTCATAGTGATTTTCCTGTCTCAGCCTCCTTTACTGCTTGGGTTATAGGCATGCACCATCACGGTTCACACAGGGTTCCAGGGCCAGCACAACATGTGATACTAGGGATTAAACTTGGGTCCTTGCACTTGCCAGGCAGGTGCTTAGACCACCAAGGCCTAAGAAGTGTTGTTACTAACATGGTAACTCACTTCTAGAATTTATTGTTAAAGCAGATTTCTTGCATATGTAGGGATTCATTGTTCTCTTGGTGGCTCCTAGGAGAATATGGCAAGGGAATTTAGAAAATAAAGATAAGAAACAAAAGTTGAGGTCAGGTGGAGGTCTCTTCGCTGGATGGGCAAGGTCACTAAACAACAGTAGGAATATTTATTTATACCTTTGCAAAGTTTGGATCACGAGACACAAGGTTGCCTAGTGACTACTGACTAAAATTGCTCAGGCGGGATGCTTTCTTGAGACTGAGGTAGCTTGGCTGCTTTAGGCACTCTGGCCTTGTCTTGTCTCCACACACATGATCAATTATCAGCTTCAGCCGCCCACACAGCATGTCCAGGGGGAGTCTTATGGGCTTGAAGTGAAAAAAAATTTTTTTTTAAATTGTTGTTCAGATCTGTATGGATGGATTCCCTTGCCACTCATACTTAGTTGTAGAAGTGATAGAAGTGCACATTTATAAGGCCAGGGAAACAATGAAATACTTTATTCATGATTAAAACTATATTGGAAAACTTGAAGACCTATGCAATCATTTATCAATGCTGATTTTGGATGTTCCACATACACTAGCAGTTGGTTATAAGAACCAATCCAGCAGCCAGACACTCTGAGTTCTGACTCAGTCTTTGGCAAATCTGAGCAGTGGACTTCATACCCGTTGCATATCCTCCTGGCATTAATGTCCACTGACCTGATGGCATCAACTACTTGGACTATAATCTGACAAATTCTTCAGATGATCTGAGGCATGCCAACATTGCAAACCACAGGTTTTGAAGACACATCTGGGCTGGCCAGATAGCTCAGTGGATTAAAGCCCCTGCTTAGGCAGACACAGGGGACCAGGGTTTGATTCTCAGTCTGCTGTGCCAGCCCTGCCCCGGGGTGCGCTGAGACTGTGATTGAGACTGGGTTTGATGGTATGCACCTGTAATCCCAGCACTTGGGAGGCTGAAAAACAGGAAGGATTACTGCAAGTCTGATCTGTGTAGTGAGACCCTGTAGACACTGTACTGAATGCATAAAAAAAGAAGACACATCTAATAAATCCATTTTCATCTTTATTTTTATCGAATGTGTGGACTTGTGTAGACATCACATGTCTTATTTCTTACAGTCTCAACTCTGACCACAATGTGTGGACAAATGTTAACATCCAATAGAGGGTGTGGAAGTTAGTGGAGAAGGTGACAGAAGAGGAAAGGAAGACACAGTGACAAAAATATCTGAATCCTTTTGGTTCCATAGTACACACAAAAAGGTCATGTTTCTTTTTAAAATCTTTGTTCTCAGTCTTTAGATATATAAAACCAATCAGAAGCATTCGTTTCCATTCCATATCTGGTCATCAGAAAGACTATAACAATATCAAAAACATTCCCTTCTCACAAGTCATCATGTCATACTCCTGCTGCTTGTCTAGAAATAAGACATTTTATTTTATTTTCACACCATCTTTTCCATGAGATTAATTAGTAACATGAAATCCACTAACCAAACAACTATTTTAGAATTCCGCCTTTTGGGACTGACAGATGACCTAGAGCTACAGCCGCTCATCTTCAGCCTGTTCCTGTCCCTGTACCTGGTCACCATCCTGGGGAACCTGCTCATCATCCTGGCTGTCATCTCTGACTCTCTCCTGCACACCCCCATGTACTTTTTCCTCTCCAACTTGTCCCTCACTGACATCTGTACCAGCACCACCACGATCCCAAAGATGCTGGTCAACATCCAAACACAGGATCAGAGCATCACCTACCCAGGCTGCCTCTCCCAGGCCTTTTTTGCTTTGCTTTTTAGTGGCTTGGAAAATTGTCTCCTTGCAGCGATGGCCTATGACCGCTACGTGGCCATTTGCCACCCTCTGAGGTACACAGTCATCATGAGCCCCCGCCTCTGCGTCCTGCTGGTTCTGTTCTCGTTGCTCATCAGCACTGCACATGCCCTGCTCCACACTGTGATGGTGCTGCGGCTGTCCTTCTGTGCGGACCTGGAAATCCCTCACTTCTTCTGTGAACTGGCTGAGGTCATCAAGATCGCCTGCTCTAATACCTTCATCAATAATATGCTGGTGTATTTAGTGGGTATCATATTTTTTGGTGTACCTCTTTTGGGGATCATTTTCTCTTATATCCAAATCGTCTCCTCTGTCTTGAGGATCACGTCAGTGGGAGGAAGGTATAAAGCCTTTTCCACCTGCGGATCTCACCTCTCAGTGGTGTCCTTGTTCTACGGGACAGGGTTTGGAGTCTATATGAATTCTGCAGTGACTGACTCCTCCATTGGGAATGTGCTGGCTTCAATGATGTACACTGTGATTCCTCCAGTGATGAATCCCCTTATCTACAGCTTGAAGAACAAAGACATGAAAGGAGCCTTGGCCTATCTCATTGTTGGAATACCGTTTGTGTGACTGTGTCACTGGCTTGGAGCTTTGGTTTCTAGAATAAGTTCAGATGACAATAGTAGTGAGGAGCCAAAGTACCTGATTCGAAGATGTTCGAGTACATTTCAGCTGGGACTTCAAATCTGATTTTTCTGTTTTTCCAGGTCTGTGATGTTTGACAAATGATTTTATCTCTAAACTCTATCTTGTTGCTTGGGCTCCGTGGTAGTGGTACCTAAGTTAGTCATTAAGTTTTGGCAATTCTACATGGATGAGTGTCAGGGAATATAGAATTGGTGGACAGGGCAGAGAAAGGCCTAAGCAACACTGTGTTGATATCTGGGGACTAGATTTGGTGTATCCTATGCTTAGGGCTCCAGAGTTGTTTCTTCATTGCCTATGAGATTGCTCCAAAATGTACACCTTCCAAGAGTCAAATGTTGTAATTTTATACTCCACTAAGCAATTATTGAGACTTGTTGCAGGGAGAGTATCCTATGATAGTCATATAACCATTTACTCCACTCAGTTTCATGATTTATAAGATTATCACAATTCTAATATCTCAGAGGTTTGAGATAGTCTTATGGTATTTCAGATTTTGAACTTCATCAATGAAAATGCCTTCATCTCTCATAACAAAGAAACCCTACCAAGGACAAACTTGAGACATTTCTTGGTAAATGGATGCACCTGGAGATCATACTCTTATCTGGCAATATCAATAACTGGTTGGAAGGCAACACTGTATTACAACACATACTGTGAAAGTCATATTAGTTTGTTAAGTGAAATTCTGTATCACTTGTAATTTTTCTGTTTTACTTCTGATTTGTACTCTTTAAAAAATAATAATTAAAAATATTAAAAAA